ATCGAACGAAAGGCAAACAAGAAAAATTTCTTTTAACTTTACAGAAATTCGATATTTATTGTGGATGTTAGGCTGGACTCAAAAGATAGTTAATGAGATCTGTTAAACATTATAAACATTTTCAGCAGGATTGTTCCCAGTTTTGAATGTATTACATTGTGCTACGTTACGTCATGTTTCATTCAAAAGGCTTGGTAAATATTGCCTTGGAAACAGGTTTTTACCTCTACGTGGTCTATCAAATAACCATTTCCCAATATAATGTTGATCGGTTTGGCATAAGATCATTGTTTTATATTCCAAATCATTAGTATTTTCTTAAGAAACTGAGAGATTTAAATGCAACAAACGTACCTCTTAAAAACGTATATATTTCTGTTTTCTAATAACATACCTCACTTATATCATTTATGATACCGATATAACTTACTATGTACACTTTGAAAAAAAAAAGCGAGGTCAGTTCTATACCTCCCGTTCTACTGGGCGGATTGACGAAATTCAAATTGCGTTCTTCATGTCTCGGAAGCGCGATTTAGGATATATGTTAGGTTTATATATAGCATTGTTCTAATATATGCCAATTTTTTTCCATATTACGATTCTACTACTTTAATTATGCCTAAGTATTAAAATTTTATAAATGTGGTGAGAAAGTTATTTAAATTCAAAAATTTATCTTGGCGCATTTTTTTCAGTTTGGACCAAGAACAATTCATTTGGCGAAATTCTTAATACATGACAACCTATTTTCCTTTCCCTTTTTACATTGTGTACAAGGGGGAGGGGGAAGTCGCATCGTGTTTACTTTCAAATAATTTTGATAAAGTGCCTAAACCACATTTGATGTTTTATCGCTTTCAACAAATATGCGAAATTTTAAAACGCGCCAATATATAAATTCACGTATATCTTAAGTAATTTGAATAAAATAGTTTTAAAAATAAATCATAAAAAATGGCGAATTTTATATGGAATGAACTTAAATTTCGAAATGCGAAAAGAAGAATCAAATAAGTTTAATGAAAAAAGGGAGATTAATGTACCAAATTCAATTAACATTGAGGAATTTTTGTGAGCTAATTTTTTAAAAACTACTCGTGCCATTTATACGAAACTTGCCAGTTTGGCGTAATTTGAGTCAGAATCGAAATACGGAAAACAATTATCATGCTATTTCAGAAAATGTCCGGTTAATACCTAAATTAAAATACCCTAAATTAGAATAATGCTATATATAAATCTAATACATATCCTAAATCGCGCTTTTGAATCAAGAAAAACGCAAGTTGAATTTCGTTAATCGGCCCAGTAGAACAGGAGATATAGAACTGTCCCGCCTTTTTTTTGCTCAGTGTACCTACCTGATGCACAATTTTGATGAATATGTTATCTGTTATTTTAATTAATGAGATTTATTTCTCATGCTATATATAATGTGCCTTTGCACACAACAAGCGTTTTTTCTTATTAAAATTTTCTGTTAATAATTTATTAATTATGGCGTGCTTTCAAAGAAACTTCTTCAAGGTCCTTATTGTTTCCACTTTGCGTCTTGGCAAAATTGACGTATTGCCACTTGAAAGAAGCATGTGCTAAAAATCTCGTGGAAAACCAATTTAGCAAAATAAATGCTCAGTTACGTCTAGGATAATTAAGTTTTTCTTTAGACAATACCTGCCTAAATCTGAACGTGGAAATTTCTAATTAGATGCCTTCATAATAATATTTTCTGTCATTGGCTTTCTCATTAATGGGCCTTATTTTATTGTCAGAGAAACAAATCAATGCAAAATTTAAAATTAGACAAAAAATAAGATTTACGAAAAAAAAATAACCTGAGATTGACATATTAAAACTAGAGCAGAGCCATTAATTAATTTTAAAAAGGCTACATTTATAGTTCGCCGAGTTAATTATTATTTTATCTGCCCCAAATCTATGTTAAACTATGGCAACATTTTATGTTTACTTTTTGACAGAAAAATTCTTTAAACTAATAAACCTATCATAATTGCTTAGCTTCAGATTTTATCAAGTTTTAACTAACTTTTGCATAGTGAGATCAGATTACAAGTTCTTTTTAAAGTTATGATCCTTATATTTTAAAATATTTTTAAGCTTTTCGAGTTGTTAGACTATAATATGGAGTTTTTCTGTTTGCATTCTACTCATTTTTTATTTATTATTCGTTTTATTCGAACTGTTCGTGAAATATTATAATAGAACTTTTTGCTGAATTTGAAGAGTTCTGACAGCTTAAGCTCGTAAATGGTTTTCCTTTTGTTTAAACCCCAGAAGATAAAGCAGGCAGAAAAATTTCATTTATTCCTATTACAGTGTTGATTAGGGTAAACAACAATTCATAACATCACTTCACCAGAGCTTCAGATAATATTTCAAGCATCTGTAAACATAAGAAAATAGTTTCATTTCCCTGCACATTGCTTCTTCGGATGATTGAAAAATATTACGACGATTTATAAGAAAGTTCTAAGTGAAATAGTCGATATCCTTGTGACTAGAAAGGAAAAGAAAGTCGAGCTTCATGCTGAATTCTTGATGTTTCGCCGGTAGTATTTCCTGTATAAGAGAAGTACTAGAACGTTTGCTGTGAGAGAAAATGTATAAATATTTTATTCAAAGGAACGCATGAATATTCTCTGCGGCCTGAAGGGAGGCAAAACACTTGAAAATTCTTTGTAGCTAATATAGTACCAGACGCAGAAGAGAATATTCCAAACGCAGCTGTTATTTACGATTTTTAATCATTTATATAAGATACTTCGCTGTATCTAATTTTATATTAATAATGTTTCGCATATTGGGTAATTTAATTTTCTTTCATTTTTGTACAGACGAAAGGAAGTTCAGCCTAACTGCATACAGTATAAAAATGGTAAACTACAATTAATTTCTGTTAATAAAATTATTATTTAAGTTGCAATTTCCTTCTTCAACAAAGGTGCGAGTACTCTCAATTGAATAAGCAATCACAACAATAATTTTGGAAATTAAACAATTGTATTCAATTTACGTGTTTCAAAACCCTCTTCTTGGTAATAGGTCGTAGGTAATTGCTATCTAGTAAAAAACGTATGTTATCTTTCTGTTTTCTTATAACATAGTTCACATACATAGTATTATCTGTAATGCATCAATATTTATCTATGTTTAACTTATTTCTATTTATTATTTATATTATTAAATTTATATTGTTATTTATCTACATTAATATCTCTCTATCATGTATCAATATTATCTATTATTAGTGTTTTTTTAAATGACACTTGATTGCGTTTGGAAGGATATTTTAATATATAAAGATTTATCTAGAATTATCAAAATTGTACTTTTATAAAAAGCAAATGTGGAAAATTTACGTAAACTTTTACCAAAAATATGCATACACGTACAGTAAAAAATGGGAAATTTATGCAAAATTAAACTAAAAATATCCGTTCATATCAAGTAAAAGAATTAGGGAAATTTACATTTATGCGATAAATATACGTTATAAGGTATTTTCCCGCCTTCTTAACGTGCCTTCGTGGTGTGGTGGTCTGCACGCTGGGCGCATGTTTCAGAGGTCCGTGGTTTCAATTCCCGGCGAAGGCGTTGCTCATTTTTCATCTTTCTTATTTCCAAATAACATAATGTCTCTACAATGGCGCCCGAACTAAAAGGGTGGTGGATGATGATATCACACCCAGGATTTGGCAATAAGTCCCATAAAAACCCCAGTCGCCCCTTTAAAAGGAGAAGTATATAAGGTTTTTCTCCAGCTTTCTTAGCTTGCCTTCGTGGTGTGGTGGTCTGCATGCTGGGCGCGTATTCCAGAGGTCTGTGTTCTATTCCTGCCAAAGGCATTGCTCATTTTACATCTTTCCTGCTTCCGAATAACTTAATGTCTCTACAACATAAATATTTAGCAGAAATATATTTAAATCCTGGAACTAGGTAAAAATCATGCTTAGTTATCTATGAAACTTACACGAATAATAGTGTGAAAATACTTAACTTTTATGTGTAATTTAGGCATATTATAATATATACGTATAAGTAAATATCTATCGATTTTTTTCTGGACACATCGTATGATATTTCTACGTTTAGTTTGTGCATTTTTTATATAAAGGGTCATTAGTAAATTGCACGTACTTAGAATTTATGAACGTCGCTTAGAATTTATGAATGCATATACTACTTGGATTTGAAGGAGGAAAATGGAAGATATATACTAATATGTAATTATAATTTGAAATTAAAATAAAGCCAGGCCTTTATCAAAGGAAAATTTGTTTGTTTTCCAACTTACTGTAATAACGAAGTCAGCCTTTTCAAAAGGACTGTAGTTTCAATAATATTTTGATACCTCAAGAACTTAATCTTATTGGATTCAAAAAAGAAATACAGAGATGATAAATCTTGCAATATGAAAAATTGAGAGTATCTCAGATGGATTCGGCCTTGAAACTAATAAACATAATTCTTACTGTCGCCAGCTAATAAAATTAAACCATTATTGTGTAACAAAATTCAAGTTAATGCAACTAAAGAATTCCAATTCTGAAAGTTCTGATGAATGTTGGTATATTTCATTTTTGACTGTATAAGTTAAATAAATATTGATGTACTAAGAAGCCAATTGCTACTTCAGAATGAAGATTATCCCTCGAAAAAGTCACATGAATCTAAGTATATAAATTATTCATATTGGTAAGCTGTTATAAAACTCTATAGTTAACATTGCTTTTTTATATGCATAAAGACCATACATAAGTTTTAAAATTATAACGGAAATAACAAAAAGAATGAAAATGAATTTTTGAAAGTCAGCAAATTTGGCAGAACTCATTTACTACAAATATTTATTGAACTTTCGTGATGGCTTATATCAGAATATCACGAATTCAGTATTGCATTGCCTTCAAGCAATAGTTAGGGTTGTAAAAGTTAGCAATTTCGTCTTTAAAATAAATTTAGTAAATCATACTTACAGATGAAGTGAATTGAAGCATAGTTTCCACGCTTTTCTTGTAATTGCGGCCATCCTCGGTGAGGTAGTATGTGAAGTCCGACCATACCCATGGTTTCATGACTCGGTCAGAAAACTGTTCTGATGCTCTGCAAAAATTTAAAACTAAAATGTAGAGCCATAATATTGTTGTAAAAATGTAAGTGATGAAGGAATTTTATAGTTTGGTTTTACAACATCAGATGAATGAATTTCATAATTTGGCTTCTGAACTACATTTAAGAAGATGGCTTACATTCATACGATCAGCATTGCATTTTAATGGATATGGCACAGAATCAACACAGCCTAAAATCAAGAATCGACAGAATCAGCACTGTGTAGAATCGAAAAAGCACAGAATCGAGTAGTCACAACATCATTACTGCGTAGAATTGACAAGGCATAGAATAAATACTGCGTAGAATCGAGAAGGCACATTATTAAATACTACGTAGATCGAGAAGTCACAGAATTGATAAAACCATAAGACACAAAATACAGATTGCATATAATCGTGAAGGCACAGAATCAACGCTGCTTAGAATTGGACAGTACAGAATCGATATCGCATAAGACGGACACCGCCACACTATCGATACCGGTATATGATACTGGTATTTGTCATCAACATGTATGATCGATAAAACAGAAGGATAAATTTTGATAATAAAGCAATAATGAGTAAAATGATTAATGCTCATTTATCACCTACTCAGTGTTGTAACAGCCATACGATTGGTATTCTATAAAATTGACCTCATACACTCAAAATGCCATAGAATCGACATAGTTTCTAAATGAATTGACAGAGACTCAAAACTGCAGAGAATCGCCACCGGTATTCAGTTGAGAGTGCGTAGATAAGATAAATAAGAATATACCAAGATATAGTGCTTAGATGAGAATATACCAAGAAAAGTTACACAACCAAGGGTAACATAAGACTGAGAACAGCAAGGGACTTGACACTTACGCTACACAAATTATTCTGAACAAAATTTTAAAATTCTTTTAGCTGCCATGTTGGTTCTACGTCGAAGACAAATCAGTTTAAGTGGGATTCATTTTGCGATGCCGACTTAGGCGTGCTTCTGTCTATATAAAATTACATCACAGCACATATAATTTGAGAAATGTCTAGTTATTCTTATAGTTGACTTATTTAATCTACGAGAAAATAAAGTTTCAACTTAAAAAAGAATAAAAACCTAATTTATTAGGAAGTAGATTTATTGCGGTTAGATTACTCCGTTTGTTAAATGATATACAGTTTTAATTTGAAATACAAAGATTAAGTCTTTTAGAATGGCAGCACTCTGAGAGCAGGCTATATGAAATGCAGCGTGGAAGGTGAAGACGTTATGTTTCGTACAAGGGAAGTACACTTATCCAGTGTAGATGATATATGTCCTGATGGTGTAATATAAAGACCCGAAGACGGGTGTTTTCGTGGGCAAGTTTTCAGGGAAAAACGATTAGAATTCTCATTATACACTGGGAAAACGACAAAAATACCTATGCAGACAGCTTGTTTGCCAGAATCTATCGAAAAAATAGATGAAATTAAAATCATAAACAAATATAAGGGCTTTTAGTCCATCCATCTCCAGTCATTTAAAACACTATTGACGAATTGCTTGATGCCTTGATAGTTGCTTTCTTTAAATTCTAAAAATACATTCTTTCGTACAAATAAAATGAAAAATGCACCAGTATAACTTTTCTTGCCTTTTTTGAACACAGGAAAAACAAGGAAAATAGATTTTAGATGCATGCGAAACAAAGTAATATAATAAATTTAAGCTAACAACCTTACATGTACAAATTTTCCTTTTGAAATAAAAACTTTTAGAAAATGTAACATGACCAACATTTTGTTTCAGAGTGATGTTTAGAAGAAATATGTCCTGGCTTACATGTATGATGATTAGGTTATTTTTCTTCTGCACTGACGTAAAGCTTGGCAAGTTCTTTGAAAATATCTAAAAAGATGCATTACATTTATGGGTTTTAAAATATTTTGCAAACAGACTATTGTGATAGCTAAGTGAATTCTATGTTTGGGCTCAATCGCACATGCACCCAACAACTAGAGCTAAAAGCCACGGATTTCAGGATAGCCCATCTCGGATTCTGCTTCTTCCTTGTTGCTTTCTAAGAATTTATTCCCGAAATTTTCCTGCTTACAAACGTCAAAGCACATTACCAGTTATTTGCTCTGCGAAATGAAGTGTAAGTAAAAGCAAATGATCTATTGAAAATCTACCGGTTTTGTTATAGGTTTCCATGATGTAGTCATACCACCCACATGCGTTTGCGCATAACGGTCAATATATCCATACAGTAGTTAAAAGTTTCCGAGTTCGAGTCCGAGAAAAGATTAAATTTTACTTATAAGTTACTAATCGAACAACGTAATTGTCTCATACGTCCATTTTTTTTCCACTTCTCGCTTCGTTAGTAGCGTTGATATGAGTGCGGACAGCATCTTTCTATAATAAACATGTGTTACTTGTATTATTTCTAATATATATTTATATTTTGAACCCTAAAGAAGACAGTTCTACTCTATTCATGACAGACAAAAAACTAAGAATTTCGCATGTTGAGCTCTTGAGCCAAAACTTTTAAATTTGCTATGTGAATCAATTATTCTGCATAAAAAGTGTGGGACCGTCAATCTCCAAGACTTAGCTTGATGTGTATTATCGTTTTCCTTTACTGCGAGACCAATATTGGTCGAGTAGCTGAGCACTGGTAGTTTGACCCGGGATATTGCTATTCCGACGAGCGGTTTGGCTATACAGACGTTTTAATAATATATTATCCTTCCAAATTGCAGAAGAGCTCCAAATTGCAGTAACTGTTCAGGAAGATAAGTGTCAAAAGAAATTTTGATCATGTATTAAAAAAACTTTTAGACTACATTTTAATTTAATTTTTTCGCAAGCATATCCCAAAAGGTTCAGTTTTGATTGTACTTTGACAAACTTAGAGAAATTGTTGACAAGAAATCGAATTAAATCTATTTTATTCCTTTTCGTTTTGTAGCGTCTTTTTTATTTAAATTTTCAATATGCAAATTGTTTAAAAGACAAGCAAATCGCCTGTATGTTATATAGATTTAAATATTGTTCTTTGCTTATTATTTTAATTCCAAGTTTTTTGTATAATTTTCCTTTTTAGCTCATGCTAAGAACAATAGACTTTGTACTACTCGTTATAAAATGGTAACTTGTACTACTCGATACAAGATGGTAACTTTGTACTGCTCGATAAGAACAATACGACTGGATGGTAACTACTCGTTCTCGATGGTGACTTTGAAACTTTTATTTTAGCTACCCATTATTTTTTCGTTATTTCTTTTTTCTATAATTTTTATTTTTTCAGCCATCACCAGAACACGAATTAGGTTGAGTTTAAATGGTGAGCTCATTTTCAGTTTAGAGGGAGAGTTATGGCAACTCTTCAAAAACCTTAATTTCTGAGTCATTCCCCTATACGCCGATCTAAGTTTTTTAATTGATTTTTGAATGCTTACTATATAAGGCTAGAAGCCGCAATAACTGGAGCCGGGTTAATTAGGCATTGAAGTTTCTATTACAAAAGCAGTGCTCTTACTTACTGGTGGTGTGGTGGAGTATTTAATTATGGCAAAGCATGCTAGGGATATCTGCCTAAGGTTAGGAATGCCTTCGTGGAGGACTTTCTAAGGGAACTGGCTCGTAAACATGGGGAAATGCAAGGGAAATGCTCGTAAACATGGTTACACATGGGGAAAACCGTGAAAACACCCATGCAGCCAGCCCGTTCGCGGGATTCGAACCTCAGACCGAACTACCAGCGTTCAGTGACTTTACCGCTCGACCGCTGGTGGGCCTCTTACTTACTTACTGACTGAACGAAGCTGTAGCAAACAGGACTGCACAAATCAACTCTATTTGCTTGCGTCTGTTCTTACTTTACTAATCTTGCTGCTTCTGAATGAATACGTCAAAGTTCACAAAACAACCTCGTTGTTGTCTGCCTTATTTTATATGAAACATATCCATTTTAAAGCCTAATCTCTGGCTCCACGTAAAAAGGTAATTTATCGCCCATTCTTAATTTTTTTCCATGAAATAACAGTGGACACAGATGAAGGTTTAAAACAAACTCTTTCATTAGTTTTCATGCTAAGAAATTTGCATAGCTCGTGTACCACCTAAGAAATTTACACAGCACAAGACCTCCGTTGCTTGCTGGATTAATAAAATATAGGAGTTAAAGTAAAACTTAGCAGGATAATCACAAAGTAAGCATGTAAGTTTTGGCCCAGGCCTTCGCCTGATGAGAGCAAACGCGGCTACCAAAGGGAAAATGAATTAAAGCAAATTTAGAGACTGGGTGAAAATGATATGGAGATTCTCAACAGTTCTTACCATAAGCTCTCTCTTAAGTCAAGAACTCTGTTCTTATGTAGTACATAAACTAATTTTTATCCTGGCGAGAATCGATGCAAGTAGAAGTGGTAGTTTGGGAAAAATAAAAAGCTAATGAGCTAATAAAGATAAAATGCTGCAATTCAATGTATTGATGTTATTGTTGTTGTGACTTAACTCGCTATCTGATAGTAACATCAAAATAAGCCCACGAAATTCATCGTGGCAAGGAGTACATGATTGCGCCTGTCGGTAACAAGAGCGATGAGCACTGTACAGGGTTTGCTCAATTTCACCTTCAATTTTGATGGAGAGCATCCTAGGAGACGAATCCGACGAAAGAGGGGTGGCTGGGAGTTCTCTACCCCGCTTTCCATATCCCCAACCTATCTAAAGAACTTTCGGCTTGTCTTTAGGCTGCCCCATGCCGCGCAGACACTATACATTTACAAATATTTATGCCTTCTCCGGTATCCAAACCATATACCTTCGGTACGGCAGTCAGCGTCGCTAATAACTACCCCGATTGGGTAGCATGTAATGCATTAAATATTATTTTATCCAGTGTCGAACTTTTCTTGTTTAAATAATAAAATAATACGCGAGAAGTTTCTACAATTAGAATAAAATTATAAATATTTTGTTAATATCCTTGAGACGACTATTTTAACGCGTTTCTATGAAAAATATCTTAATTTGAAGAGTTAATAACTTAAACGTTTGCATATTTAAGCGCCCGAATGAAACAGCAAACAATGTATCAAATTAATCATACATGAGATATTATATATGGGAATTATATGCCTATAGAGCCAAATATCTTCCTCATATCCCGAAGCTTCCTACTATGATTAAGCTATTCCCAGTACGAATTGACGTCATTGTGCAGTGAAGAGTATAATCAGTGCAAGATCAAGCTTCAGTAGTAGAAATATTCGATATCTCACTTCAATCCACTCTCAGTATTCTGTGGATGGTAGTTAATGAAAACTGCTTGACATTTAAGCACGCATTACACACAGTGCGCCGTTTACTCAAATTAGGAATGCGCAGTAATATTATGCCGATTTTCACATGGCAAAAATTCATTTGGAATGATGGGACTCAGCACATAATCTCAGCTTAGGAATGTTCGTCTCATAATCACAAAACAGATTGTCTGTTGCGTATTTAAATACATTTCTACGCAAGGTATAATAGCAGAATACAAACTAATTTGTCACCGTTTAATTAAAGGCACTGAATATTATAATGTCTTCTAGAATTCGATTTTCAAATATAGCAGCTTGGTGCTTTATGTTCTAAAATTTTCTAAAATTGTAAAATTTGTTGCTTTTAAGAAAATTTTACAAAAAAATTTGAATTTATTACATTTTTGTGAAAAAAAAATATTTCAAATAAAAGTGCTCTTGTACAGCATTTAAAATGGACCTATCCAGTAACCCGCTGGGTGTCGGAACAGTTACATTGCAGAACATATGGGATAGAAGTTCTGTAGAATATTTTGGAGTTTGAGAGCCATAAATTCCTGGGAAATAAAAGGCTGCTACACTCCAAGTCAAACATTGAATCTCCAAATAATTCGCTCAACATGGTAACCGTTGAAGTACCACAGCATAAGGGAAGAACCCATAAATTTCCCTACATTTTCCAACTTAAAGACAAATAGAGCAAATAGAGCTCAAACAATTCCAGTCGGTAGATAAAGTTATACTGATGCAGTTTTATTCCACAATAACTCTTTTGGCTTAAGACGTGCAGAAGTGAAGAGTTAGAATAATTTTTCACGCTGTTGAATAACAGGATGGATATATTGGCAATTGCATTACTAACGACACCCACTGTGGTTGAGCAGATAACGCCACTGAATACTAGATCGGATTTAAATTCTAGCAAACAGAATTGTTGACTGGCCATTTTCGTAATTTTCCCCATGAATTACGCAAATCAAACCAGTTTTTCCTTAAAACATCCTCCACGAAGGCATCCTTACGTTTTCAGGTATGCTCACATTTTTGTCTTAATTAAATGAGCTACCAACGTTAAATGCTAGGAATTTTCAGAAGCAATTAGGAAACCTTGCATAACACTACTAAACTTTCATCCTATTTTCTCCGATGTAGGGAGAAAAATCTGTCTAGTTAATTATTTTCATGCCTTCCTCTCATTTTTACCATATAATTTTAGTAAATACACTGAATGTGTGCTTGAGGAAATTATATATAGAGAATATGCAGACCAAAACCAGGTTGTCTTAAAAGTTTTAAAGGGACAGATGTTACAATAATTTAGCCAAAAAGCTATCTTTGGAACGCCAGATGCAAAACTTTTATTTTCTCTAAAGTGAAATCCAAGATTTTGCACTATGCATGTAAGTGCTATAAGTACTAAATAATTGTCTTTAAACTATCATTAAAATTTTTGACTCCTTTTTAGTTATAGTTCTGAAAGGAGTAGTAGAGTGTCTTTACCATCTGCTATAAAACTTTCAAAGCGCACATATTGCTCTTAATCGAAAGATCGATATAACTTGACTCAACGAAGGAGGGAGAGAGAGAAGAAAAAAGAAGAAAATCTGTTGCATCATTACTTTGTTTCTAGTTCTTTAAACTAAGACAATTTGCAGCAATATCTGCAAGATAATGCCCTGGTATTTGTACATAATATCGAAAACTCACTAATCCTGCTGTGCAAGGAAAGGCAACACTTATTTTAACAAAATATTTATATAAGCATACAGGATCAGACAGTAAACAGGTAGTAAACTTACAAAGCAGTTACAAGCAATAAACAAGAAGTTTTGTAAATATCGAATAACCTGTGAACAGAATAATGTTAAAGCTGCATGCTGTTAACTGCGATGCCATTTGCGGTCTTTGATTTTGTTTCTTACAGATCTTGCCGCCATGAGGTAACACTCAATTTAAATATTTTATGGCAAATTTGAACGTTTTGTGTTTATATCATTTATTCTCAGGATTGATTTAAAATTGAGTCTTCAGATTCAAATATAAGGGTGTTTCAGCAAATCGCTTACAAACTTCCAGGAGAGATAGAATACACCTAGACGATGGTAAAATACATAACAATGCATGTTCGGAAACGCTATCCTGGCGCAGTAGTGCCGACACAAAACACAAGAAAGGAAGTACACGATCAGGATGAGAATATATGTTTCTTATGCTTATTGCAGGGGAAACAAAGAAATAAGAACAAAAACAGAGGATCGTTATCAAAGAAGGTGTTCAAAATGAAGTTCAAAGCGCATTCTCAGTATGGGATCGGCAGGAGGTGGTCTTAGTATGGGCTCGGCATTGGCCAACAAGATTGCCAGATCTCCACTTGAACTGATTACTTCTTCTGGAGATACATCAAGACATTGGTGTAGTAAACCGCCGCTAGATGTGCTGAGGAACTTGTTGCATGCATCGTGGCAGCTGCGAACAGGCAACCTCTAATTAACTTTCCGAAAATTAGGATCTCCCCACCCCTAGAGCAATACCTTCGAGAACATTCTAGCCTATTACGTAACAGCTAGTATAAATAACGAATGAGCGCCTTTTTGCGAACAGAAGCTTCCCTCTCCCTGTGCTGTGAGAACCTATGCTGCTGCTCTCTTCCTTTCCTCTATGACGCAATACATTTAAAGTAATCTTATTTAGTAACGAATATTGATCTGCTTCTGAAATTGAAATAAAGATAGGGAATAGTAAAAAGTGAAATCCTGTATCTTCTTTGGATAACGCCTTATCACTCTGCTACAGAAATGCCTGGACTTTCATGCCAAGCTTCATCATTCATGTGCGACGACTGCCGTAGTATCTTTTGATAATTATGCAAAAAATTGAATTTTTGATTCGATATATATATATAAGTGTAGACCATCTAAAGTTAAATATATGTATACAAATACATAATATGTAAGTTAATATATATGTATAATATAAAGTTAATTATATATGTATATATATATATGCAAAGTAAGATAAAAACATTTATCTAAGATATATCGAACCAAAAATTTAATTTTTTTGCATAATTAATAATTATCAAAACGTACTCCATAAAAATAAGTTCTTATAATCAGAAAAACATCCTTATTTCGTTCATTTTTAAAAGCTGAAGTGGGTCCTGAAATGGCTGTACGGAGTTATTTTCCGTTGCAGCGATATTTAGCCGTGCAATCTACATGAAACGTTTTGTACATTGTTACTGCCCTATGCTTATGAAGCTTATTTTAAGTAATATGTTATTTTTATGTGAATGCTTTTCCGTAATTTCTGTTTCTTCTGTCAACTTAACCAGAATGCAAAGTAGGCTGGAGTTAAATAGGAACGGAAAGCCTAATTTGCAAAGAGAATTTCGTAAACGCACCAGGAATTCAATTTCAATCGCGAACAACCCGTTTGCTAATTGAGCTGTTTTTTACCAATATTTCCTCGTCTTTGTTAGTGTTTTGCTTAAAGATAGGTTACAAACGGGTAAAGTCGGCATTTTAGGCGTTACATCCGTTTGGTATATTGTACATATTTAAGCGTTTATGTTTCAAAGATCCCGAAAATAACGGTGGACAAGTTTCTTTAATTTTTGCTTGCGTTTATAGGTCATAGTGTTAATAAAACGTTTAGTTCATTCGAACTTCTTAACTGGATGTCTTAGACTCCTGGGCTCCAAGTTTAAGTCCGAAGTGTATGTAGTAAGTTCAAACGAACAGTAGTTCCTAGATTCAGTTAGGTTTAACTTTACGAGCATTATGTGCTTTCGTATATTCATTTCATGTAAAGAGTGTATTAGCTCGTACTAAAAAGTCGTGAAAGATTTCCATGTACAGGCAGTCATTCAGCAAATCACTATTTGCTGTTGTGATTTGAGCGAAACAGAAGCTGTATAGAGCACATCTAATAGCGGATAAACCTTTGCGACTAGATTTAATCTATCTACTATCAGATACAGTTGCTTAAGCTGGTTACATGGCTGCCACAATTGCTGATGACGAAACTCTGCAAACAATATTAATGGAACGTTATATAATATGCATATGCTTACCGCTGAATCATTAAACGTATCGCGATTAATTATTATTATAACTAATAAGATAGAAGTATACAATGACAGATGAGTAATTTTAACATACAATATGTATTTAAGTGATGTTCAGTTCTCTAATCAGAAGAGGGCGTTTCTTTTTAAAAAGATTATTTTTAAATAAAAATTCGCCATTTTAGGAAACTTACTGAGTTAACGACAAATTTATTTTAGTACAAAATTGAAATTTTAAGTCCGGAGGTTTATTCGAAAGTATAAATATGACATCAGGAATCTCAGATCATGATATGTCAAAAGCAACATTACTAAAATTTCAGTTCTTAGAGTATGTTAGGTTAGATTCAGCACTAATTGAAATTATTACAAAAAAATTTTAATTGGCCATATAAAGTGGAAGCATACACTTTGCTATCTTCGAAATAAAAATAATTGTATTAAAATTTTCAGCCGCTATACTTACACTTTTAAGGCTTCAACATATTCAGAATTTTTTCTTTGAGCTTCAATTTTGATACCCATAGCAGTCTCTGAAAATAATACATATATGAAACGCAATATTAAGAAATTTTTCATGAAAATGCATGTTAAAAAATATTTCCATTTCTTGGCTGATGAAAATGAAGTATAAAATGCAGATGTCTAATATGAAGCTTACTTAACTTTTATCCGTGGGCCATAGGGATAAATGCTAGACACTTTGGAGCCATTTAGGTGACTATTTTAGCCAGAAGGAACAGGAAAACAAATCGATGGGGTAGTTCACATCCAGCTCCCATATCAAATAGCAAATTTGAAACCTAAATCGTTGGCTAAAATTCTTTGAGCTTTAATTAAAGTAGTGAACATGAGGGACGTATATGTCCCAGCCTTCTTCCCAAAACAGGGATTAAAACCTTTGCTGTAATTTCATTGAAGGCATGCGGAATATAAAAGAAAAAAGATATAATCATTTTACGCAGATTAACCAAACAGAAATCTCTGCTCATTTTCATGACAGAATAGGTACCATTATTTTTGTAATATCGTCATTACGTAAAAATTCTTATATTTTTGTAAGATTTTACATAAACTACATACAACTTTAAAAAGAATTTTTGACAGCAACACAAATAATTGCTGTTATGATAAACTAAATTTTATCAAGAATATGTTAAGATACTTAAATAGGACAAAGAGCATAAGGGCATCTGCATAAAGGTAGAGACGCCTTAGTGAAAGACTTCTAGGGGAAACTATCTTTTATTCACGTTACACGTGAAAAATCATAGAAAAAGAGTCATACAAGCAGCCCTTTTGCCTGGGTTGGAACCCAGTTCGAACTGCAAATATTCAGCGGTTATAAATGACGATTTTTTTATTTATTTTAGATGTTATTGCAGCTTTTTTTACGGTTTTGTTTTTCTGAATAGCTTAAGGTATGTGCCTACCCTAAATTCGTCGTTTTGGTGAAAATTTCGAAATTTTTGTTTATTTATTCATTCTATAGGCCATACATTTAGGTTTCCAAAAATGCTTTATTTTTGTTTTTACGATAGCTAGAAGAAAAGTTATAGTATAAAAAATAAACCGGAAGTGAATTTTGGATGCCAGAAGTTGGCATTTAAATGGTCATAAAAATGTAACAATAAGTTTAAACAACTTTTCTAATTTAAACATAAAAGCTGTAAAAGCAACACGTTCTTTCACTGTGTGACCTTTGCTGATAAAATGCCTCTGGAAGACTCAAAACAATAGTGAGTGTTTTAATACCTTTTGAGGACTATTTTACATAAAGAAACTTTTGTCCAACTGAAAACATTGCTTTAGGTGTACATATTGCTGTATTATTATTTAAATTCAAGATATTTAGGACTTTACCTATTTCAGGTATATAGAAATAGAAATTAATCCCATTATGCTTGAAAGCTACATGGGAGTAGACAAACAGCGAATTCAGAAATCGAAACGCCAATCTCTACAACCAACAAAGGTATCCAGAAAAATGCTTAAATAAAGTCAAAATTAGTTAAGAATGAAGTAAAAGAGGGCCTAACATACAAATACGACGATTTTTAAAGGTCTAAAGTGGCTACAAATTTTTTTGTGCTGTATTAAAATTTTTAAATGCATTTTCTGAGAAATTGTGTTTTTCGTTACTTTTGATTGCAATTACGTTAATTTCTCAAAATGTATTTAGAATTTTTTTTTATTAAAAGAAACTCAACAAGTTCCCTATGTACCACATTTTATGCTAAAGACATCTTTAGCTGTGTTCTGTAGCAAAATCTGAGCTCTTTGTATTTATTTATTGATTTTATTGACAGTATTTTGAAGAAAAGAGGATTTTTTGGGGTTTTAATTTTGCGGTTTTGTACTAAGCTTTGAATATTTCAAAACATTTCATAAGTACAGCACATCTTTTGCTACAGAACACAGGTAATTATGTTATTTATATACTGTGTAAAGATTATTGAAGTGTAATCATTAGAATCTATTATAGGAGATCTGGCGTAAATGAAAATTTTCACTAAAATTTTACTAAATATTGCCTATATTTAAAAAAATTAATGAAGCGTTTTATAAAATCCCATTTAAATTCATAGTTTTATATCCCATCTTACTCAAAAACAAGTGTGTTTAATTAAAATTTTATGTATTTAAAAAAAAGTGCTTCGTATGTACACACATACCTTAAGGTGTCGAATTTCAAATGTTCCGTGCAAAGTAGTATATAGAATGTCTTACTGTAAGAGTATATGATATTTAACATTCTGTTGTCCTAAGTTCCAGTTGGACGCAAAAGAGTCGCTGAATGGTTATGAGATATTGTTTTTCAGTTCTATACATAATGCTAAACGTTCTACTAATTACATTATAAGTAATAAAAAATTGTCAATAAATAAATTACATTGTATAAATGTTTAATAAATATTTACTTACATATACTTGTAGCATTATATAATATTAAAGCAGTAAAAAAAACATTCCTTCAAAATAACTTTGGAATATGAGATGTACCTCTTAAACAGTAGCATTATATGCAGCTACCTCAGCAGGTAGCGGCGTTATAAGTAAGAAAATAATTTTATTACAAAATGACAGTGCCTTGTTGTAATATTTCAGTTACTTTTTTAAAGAATTAGAAAGTAATTAAATTATATTAATTGCATATTTGCAATAAGTGTGTAAAATACAGTCACTGGCCTTTTAGGTTATTTTTTATAATCTAATTCCAATTAAGCCAGTGTGTTAGTTAAATACTGGTAAAGGGAGAGCGAGGATTTGACAATGTTCAAAAACGTACAGAAACGTATTTGAAGGATAAATAAATATAAAATGAACTGTGTATAAATAATAATTAAACAGACCACAGAGTATATCCAAGGTGCACAGCGTGATTGGTTGTACTATGTCGACCACTTGTCCAGTTTTTTCCTCTAGCACTTGGAGAAGTACTTTGGATTGTTCATCGATGACTGGTTGAAAATCACCCAGAATACGAAAATGGAATGCTGGTGTCAGTAGCTTCCGACGAGCTCTCCATTTTTGACCACAGCTGACAGGATAAAATATTGTCAGAAAACAACAGTTTAATCCATAAATTAATGGCATAAAGAGATTTTAAGCAAAAGGTTTTTGAAGATAGATATTGGTGAAATGTAAATAAAATTATTAGATATTTTCTGCGTTGAATAATATGGAGTAATTAATTGAGAAATCACATTTTGTTCTTTATCATATTTTATAAGACAAATGCGTCGTTTTCCAGCATACAGCTTACGAAATTGTTTGTTGCCATGCACCATACTGTATTTAATTCATTTTAATTATTCTAGCTACTGAATTTCATGTTCACTTAAAATTCTAATTCCCTATAATTCAAGCTCGAATCCTGAACAGATCCTTCATTTTAACCAGAAATTTTGAAGCAATATTTATTTATTTTAGTGAAATTATTTTATTGTACATCTTTATAATTTGATGATGGAATTAATTTCATTGCTAAGAGGGGATATGAGCAAAAAATCCTCAAAATAATTTCCGTTATAAATTTAAAAAAATTACTGGCTTTTTAAAGATTTGCGTAAAATATTGTCACCGCAAATCGCATAGGTGTTAAATTACAAAGAAAAAGAGTTCAGAAAAAGAGGAGCCAAATATTTATGTCAAGATCTTATCCAAACAAACAAACGAACAGAAAAAACAACATAAATAGAGAGTAAAAAACATGTTTACTTTCAGGTGTTAAATTTAAAAAAAAAATGGCTCAGAGAAAGGGAATTAAATATTTATGTCAAGATCTATCCCAATAAAAAAATGAGCAGAAAAATTAACATAAATAAAATACAGAGTAAAACACATGTTTACTTTCTGATTGGGATTATTTTATAATAAACGTGGACTTTTTGGATGTATTTCAAGTATCTTTATGCTATACAGTGACAAACATAATAAGAAAAGGAAAAAATATCATTTTAAGCATCAAAAGCTATCTCGCTACCTTAAATAAGTACTTTTGTTTCATCACTTGTGCTGTGTTTTAAAAACTCAATTTCAAAGAAGGAAAAAAGAAAGAATATAAAAATATTTTTGAAAATTCTGCTACATTTTCCTGTGTTCTAAAAACTCAGGAAAAGAATTATGACTTAAAACGTCAAAGTAGAGAATGAAGGAGAAACGGGTGTAACATACAATAACTTAATCGAGTATTTTCGAGATAGAGAGCATTGTAGGAAAGTTAGCAGTGTTTAACCTTGCACTTACAGTCACGCAATGGCGATATATTAGCACGCTACTGTGAAGAGCAAGCTGGTAACGATTCTAGTTTCCTGTACCAACATCAATAGCTATCTAATTTGTACAACAAATGCCCATACACGCAATGCAGGGAAGGAAGCCATAAACGATGGGTGTATTATTAGGCAACAGTAGCAGCCCTTTTGTGCACTATTTCCCTGTTTCCTTTTCGACTATTTTTCCTAAAATGAGTGCACGCAACTTTGTGAGAGTTCCAGGAGAAAAATAATTGTTGCCACATAAAATTGATAAATGTTGTAAAGCGTTAATTTCATTACAAGCTATAAAAATTTCTTTGTTTCCTTTCCGGTTTACTTTGTTTGATGATTTACGTCACACAATTTAGCTGTTTCTCTTCTAACCAGCGATTGATTAGATTAATAAAAACAAAAGAAGGAATTATTTGAGTATTAACTGAAATACAGCTGACATATGAAACTTGGATAACTGTTGAAATGAAATAGGCCTTAGTTGCCAAGCATTTAAAATAGTCCAATAACAAAATTTTCTTGCCTTAATTTAAGTGCAGATAAAACAACAGATCAGTTGGAAAATCTTAACGAATCAATAGAAATAAAATAGCTCAAATAAAAAAGATAATAAAGCAATAAAAAATATCTAAAATTGAATTGGCAATTTCATCTTTCCATTGATGATAAATATTTTCATTATAATGTGGCAACTCCTTTCATAACTTTGACTGTTTGTGCAGGAGGTTACTCCTGCACAAACTGGGCATATTTCACAGACGGTAAGCATACTTGATTCAGATGTGGAGAAGAAAAGCAATTTTCTCTGGAATCAATGATACTGGAACAAATTAAAATAAAAAGCAATCCAAATGAATTCAAATTCTAGATTTATAGTTTTATTATCAAACTAGAAATTAATTAATGCATTTTTTAATATGAAACAATAATACCAATATTAATTTTTTTTTTCATTGGCTTGCACTTAGCCGATTTAGTCTTGGCAACTACTAAGGCAGGAAGTGGTGACTACTTTATTGTGAAAGAGCCTAACTGGTGAACTACCGTTGCTTCCTATGAAGGGATGAACAATTACAATCATACTTTTTCCGGGAATCGAACCCGGGCCCTTTGGTACTTCAGCAGCTGCAATTCTACTATTTTAATTACATGCAGTTTTCCGTTTCTAATTGCCCAAAGTAGTGCGTTTGATAAACATTGTACACTCTTATTAGGAAACTATTGCCATGCTGTGTGATGCCTTCACATTCTCTGAACTCATACCACTGCCTTAGGGCAGTCAGAGGCTTAGAGCATCACAGCCCCAGAATCTTATCGTAACGGTATTTATTATTTTTTCTCTTTACCGCGTACCTTCGAGTTGTACCTGGAAACACATCAAGCTAGCACCCCGAGCTAAGGAGCTCGAATTGTGCCACGCATTGTGCATTTTTGCATTTTTCAACTTTTCTGTTTCGACAAACCTAATTACTATACGATACACTTCCTTCATAACTCTTAAGCTTCAGCAGAATTATTATTTGTGCGCATAATTAAAGCAAAAAAATCATATAATATTAATATTTAGGTTTAAATTTATGCTGTTAATTTTATTTTGCATCTAAGTGTGCTAAAAATATTTTTTTTTTTTTAGTTCGGTATATAAACAATTTAGAAATGTTTGTTGAAGTTTTTTTTCATGTATTTCAGAATTACGTTTTAACGTCAGAAGAATATGATACTCAGATTAGTTAATTATGGGTTACTTTTCAAAGCAATTGATTAATTATTAAATTCACGGAATTTCTTTATTTATTTTCAGTAGAATTATTACTTTTATTCATAATTTGCACAGCATTCCTCAAACGGTTATAACGAAAATTTTAACTGAATTACCTTGAGATATGTACATAACTCATAATAACAGAATAGAATATGCATAAACAGTAAAATTACTTACCTAGTAATAAGGCCTTCTTTGAACCAATAGTTAAGAAACCCATACATGAAAGTCTTTTTAAGTATGGTGTTGCTATTCAAAACGACCTGAAAACAGTTACTGAGGTTAAGGGCAAGTGTAAACAAGGAAACGTAGTAACATTTTTACAGTTTCAAAGATTGCCTTAGAAAATTTCTAATTTCTAATGCCTCTGGTACTGTTTCTTTAATCGCTTCTTAACTGGAGAACAAATAATAGTTAGAAATAAGTATGTTTTAGATCTTGACTTTTGTCTGAAACAATAACACATTAGAAACTTTCAATTATGCAACTCGACCATTTTACGCTTGACAGAACATTCCACGGCATTCTTATAAAAGCAGAGGAAAAGAAACCTTTGTATTTAATTTAACAGAATGACATTCTGCTTTTGTGCGTATATAACGGTAAATCTTCAGCTTCCTTTTATTCAATATATGCGTTATAAATGTTAATATGTTTTCCACTAACGACATAACAGTATACTTTAAAGCAATAAGAAACATATATTTTGCAAAAATATGGAACTCTGTTAAATCTTATCGTTTCAGATTCAAGCAGTTAAATGGTTCGATACATACTGATTTCTCGATGTTTCACCTATGTATTGTGAATAAGAACCGGGAACTATTAGAGTATCTTGCATTAGAACCGCTTCCCCCAAACCATGACATTTTCTACTTTCAAACAGCATAGTACACTTTGCTGACCAGACGGGGAAGTGGTAACTATCATTTGAATTACCGGATTCACGATCTGAGGAAGACGTACTATCGGGCCTGAACCCCTTGATGCCTCCGTATTAGGCTGGAGGTGGTCATCAGGCAAAAGTGTCCACTTGAGAGCTAAAAATCTCGCTACACCGTCTGCTCGTCCCACACTTATGGGCGACGGATTAAAAGTACTCTCTCCTCATGGCTGAACAGTTCGACAAGGGTCACCACTCCCTGCGAACTGAGACCACCATGAGGTGTGGTCCTATGAGCCTGGAAGTTTAACGGCCGTTGGAACGCCCCCGCCAGTACTACACGGGCAGTCCACCGGCTGAGGGTTTGACATAGAATACAATGATGACCACGGACTGCCCGTGGCACGCACTGCTACCAATACCGTGGCTTTGAACGGAATTCAGGTCAAGAGGCAAAGCCACGCCCACTACCGATACCACCAGCACAGTGGCCTATAGCCTTCCCTCCCCTTGGTCCAACTGTACAGACGGTCTTCCCTCAGGGTTTTGGAACCGCCAAGCTCGTAATGCTTTTTCCCTGGAGGATATAGAATCCAGCCAGTTGTACCACAGGGTGTAAGGGGAAGTGATAAGTGACTCTGACTGCCATACCAAAGGGTCCAGGTTCGACTCTCGCAGGAGGCATGGATGTAAATTGCCTCTCCCTTCATAAGAAGCAACGGTGATCTACCTATTAGATGTTTGAATAAAAAGGTGACCAACGTTTCCGGTCTTAGTAGCGGCCAACGCCTAAAATGGCCATTGAGAGATAAAAAGAACTTTGCAGTACCAAAGATCGTAATCTAACTTAACCTGAAAGATTTTTATTTGATAGTTTACTTGTAAAAGTACTTAATTTACTTGTAAAAAACTATATAATGGTTTTCTTCATTTAAGAACTGGATGGCCACCGGTAGCCTAGCAGAAAGACCTCTGAACACTAGCAGTTCAATTCCAGGTTCAAACGGATCGCTTGCAACAGAGGTTTTGTGTTTTTCTCCGTATAACTTCGTAGAAAATCTCCTAAAGATATTCCTCCATGAAGCCATCTCTCGTTTTATGCAGATAGCCCAAGTAAGTTTTGCCATAATATAAATAATCCGATCAGCATCTCGTTTGTTGCATTTTATAAAAAAATAACTTCAAGAAAAATTCATTGCTTAGTTTTAAATACTCTTTTTATTGTTAAAAATATTTCATTTAATCCCATTTCGAACAATCATTTTTCCAACGAAACTTTATAATGTTATATTTAGTAGAAAATAATTAACTAATGTTATTATTTAAATCTTGTAATTTACAACCACAAGTTTTAAAAAAGTTGTTGAACATAAGTAACTTAAAGAATGGTATCATAAGAAATATATGACAAAGAATTGTTCGAATTAATTTTCTAAAAGAAGATACTTTATTGTGACATCTGACTTAACTTCTCTCTCTCTACTATGACACACGGTCCAAGAGGTAATGTCAATAAAAGCATCTTTTCTGGCAACTGTACAGTTATCTTGTAATCGGTTTTTTAGGATGGTTGACGGGATTTGGTTTCTACAAAAGTAATGATGTATGTGACATTTCTTTCATGGATTACATTTTTGGGTCTGTTTCTTTTACGTTTGAACTGCCATCTTAAGCACAGTAAGATGAGCAACGTATGCGGGGAAATGGATAATCGACTTGACGTCTGTTGCATTCGAAAAGATATATATAAAAAAGTTATTTATAAGATACGAAAAATAAACATGAACAGTGGGATTTTTTATTAGCATGTCAGAAACAGATCTTTACATCTTTTCCCATTCAAGTGCACTTGAAAATGAAAACATGACGGTTGCTTTTTCTTTCTCAGAAGTGCTCAATACAAGGCGTCCAGTCTCTGTTTGGCAAAGTAATATTATAAATTTATTCAAAAGATACTTTTGAAAACAACACATATAAGCTGATCTCACGCATTTCGGCTTTAAAAATGTAGCTATACAGGTTACATTTACTTGAATTTAGTTCTGGAGTTGTGCTTCCAATTGCAAAACGTTTCACAAAATACAGAGTGGATAAGGGAACTTTATAAAACTATTAGTTTCAGTCTCTGGGGGGGGGAAGGTAGGATATATTTTTAAATGCTAAATATAATTTTGTATAAGATGAGTTGTTCAAAATGTCTAATCAATAAATTGTTCAATATATGCCTGCAAGATTTATTTTAGCTAAAACTTGAATTTTATGCTAATCTTGTTGTTGTCTTGTCCATGTATTTCATAAAGAATGATTGCCAGAGCTTCAAAGAGGTTGGACTTCTACTTCCATCTCGATTTCGAGGAAGAGTATATCGGGGGATGGTCCGAAGGCTCCTTCTTAACCTGTCTTCCCTACCACTGAACCATACGAGAAGATTTCGGCTCGTATTCAGAGTTCCTCATTGCCGCAAAGACATTTACAAAAATCCATGCCTTCTCCAGGATTCAAACCCTGGCCCTCCGATACCGCAGTGGGTTTCCCTAAACACTACACCATCTGGGCGGCATGCTAATCGTTTTCTGTATATTTTACTCCGCGAATCCAACAAAACGCAGATTGCTCTGAATTTAAATAGCAAGTGCTTTTTTGTAGTCTCGAAAGAGAGAGAGAGAGAATTGAATACTATCTATCCCTGAGACTCTGACATCTAGTTTGTTGAGTGATTTTGCATTTGTTAGTACGCAGAGCTAGAATCCATTATAGCTAAAGCTGACCAAGTGAGTCGACGAAAATAAACTCTGTGCTCTTCGTATTTGCGCTAGGAAGACCCCCTAAGAGGCAGTAGCTAGTATTTTCTAATTTTAAATTGTATCACAAGACATAGTTTTTATAAATCTTTTAACCAAGTTTCGTATTATGCTCGAGATCTTGTAATTTAGATTTTTGTAAATTGCGAAGAAGAAAACTGTAAAACAGCGCAAAAGTCAACTGGCTTTAAATAGTTAGCTCATTAGGTTTCACCGTACGCGCCTTGGCAAGTTACATACATACAAAATCTTCAATACTTAATTAAAGTGCAAATTTCTTAGTCATATATCAGAATAGCTTATTTACTGATATCCTTTTTCTATTAATAAGCGGTTTTTTACAAAGTAATTTCAAACTGGTTTTGGTAACAACGTAACAGACGTTGCGGGTTTCGACTTTTATTGCTCTGTAAGAGATGAAAAAAAGCAATGGTTGTTAACTCCGTTTAATTGGCCCCATGACGCTATCATATTATTCCTGTGATTTGGATCATAATAATCATAAATTCTTGTAAATTATTAAATTGCTCTCATAAATTTACTTTAATTTTGTAAACTATCATCGAAGTCTATTACCGTTTCAATTTCTAAAATATAAATTATATTTGTATTTTTAGTATTTATAATAATTAATTAATTTTATAATAATTATTTTATATAATTATTGTATTAATATGTATACTTTTAGTAATTCAAAATAGTAAAAGAATTATATATATATTATTGTAGAGTGTTATTTTTATAATATATATAGTATATATTTTTAAAAATTTTCATTAAAAAGTCATTCGTACGAGGTTCACTGCTGTAAAGAAGCATTTTCATGGGTTTTACACAAATTTTGGTACATTATAAATCACAATACAATGTTATCTTTTCTATTAAAAAAACATTTGTTATTTTGTAAAAGATCTGCAATTAGAGGCTCGGCCAGGTTTTGATGTTTCCTAACTTCGAAAAACCTTGGTGGTCCCTACAGCGGAAAACAAAGTAAAAACAGGCATAAGATAATTAATCATCATTTGGATATGACCAACTGGGTTTCGTGTCTTTTTCCAGTTACCTCTTATGTAAGGGGAAGTGTAGGATATAATAGCATTTTCCTGTGCGTGGTTAGACTATATGAACTGCTGGCACGTTTGACTGCGAAGTGGAAGATATACGTGTCCGAACCCGGCAAAATCACAGTGGGTGTGGTGTTTTTAGTTCAAAGGGGCTTTGTCCCTGAAGGACTATTGTTTTCGTTTTGCGATTTTGGGTTGAATCACTATAAATGTCCGTTTCACTTTTCAAACTGTTGTCACCAAATGTTAGAGTCCTGCATTTTATTTGAAGAAATTAAATAATGAAAAATCTGCATAAATGTTCTCGCATTGTGATAAAACAACGGTACATAGAGCCATCGAATTTTGAATGACATGATCCTCCTACGAATATAGGCACGTGGAAGGCCAAATTCGAAATTTTGAATTTTTTTTTTATCGATTTCATATTTTGTAAAACTTTAAAGAATTTTTGATTAACAAAGTCAAGGATTTCAAAGCGAGTAATGGCAGCACTCTACGGGGAAAAAAAACAT